TAATATCCTCGTGTCCCACCCCTATATACTTCGATCACCACGTAGTACGTACCCGATGACGCAGCGTAACTTTGTGGTATATATAATATTCCTGTAAAATTTGATCTTAATATCGAGTGTGATTATGCTATCTACCTCCACAGAACATTCGCGTTTACTCATATATTATAATTTATTATAAATATTATATCGATCATATTATGGTTACCCCACGAATAACTGCAGCGTTTATATTACCATAAAAAGTGTATATTCTTAGGCTCAATATACGGGGTGATCCATTTGACGAAAGACACTCACTATTTCAGAAAACTATGTAATTTTTTTATCGTTACGAATTAATTATTTTTTATCGTTTCTACCGTTTGGAAGTTCTTACTCCTTTGTATAACAATTCATACATTTTTTAATTCATATTCCTAATCAAAATATTTTACAGAGTATTTAGATCTATAAAAGTAAAATTTCGGACTAGTTGTTTTTTTATATATTAGTATTTAAAGTTTAGATGAGTGGATCAGTAGTGGACAAACATTTTGTGTAGTACGCCTGCATCACTCCACTCCACTTAACAAACTCAAAATACTTATAACTTAAACTGTTCGTCAAAAATTCAATTTTTATAAATCGAAATAGGTATACTACAAATATCTAAAAATTATTGAAAATATAATTTATTTTTTATAATTACTAAAAATTACGAATGAAAAATATTTTCAAAAACGCTAATAGTTTTTTGTAATAGAATAACGTGTCTTACGTTAAATTGATCACCCGGTATAGGTATATAAAATATATGATTAACGATAGGACTTTATATACGCGCGCGCGCCTCGAATTCCGCTCTCGAAACTTTTACCCGATTTTAGAGACTAATGAATGCGCACGAGAGCTCTTCACATCCGCCAAGAAACGGTGGCTGCGGTGGTGGTGGCGCGGGGAAATCGCCCTCGATTTAGGACGCCGTCTCATCCACGCCTCACCCACCCGTAGCCACACCTCGTCACCCATTGTACGACGAGCATTATATTACATAAAAGTTAAGTGCCCGCTTACCTATATTTTGCATATAATAATATGATGCGTATAATATCATATAAAATATATCATATAGCACGGAGTCCTCTTGAACTCTGTCTGTAGCGTTTATCTTAAAACGATAGACCTCGAGCGCCGCTCGACCATTTTAGGCATAACGACGGAGGAATAATATAACAATCCCAAGCGCGGATATCATCGTGCTGCCGTATGCAACGAGTACGAAATCATCTGGGGGGGGGGGGGTTATTATTATTTTCTTCCCTTCGATCCGCCACACGATGGTCTTACCTTTATTATATAGTTGTACTACCTACGATGTTCTTAACCGCACCGACGGGTATATAAGTATATAGGTATATACAATATACATTTAGGTACTTGGTGATCGAGTGCAGTGCAAAATGAAAATATATTTCAAATAAACGCAGTTGGATTTCATTTTTAAACTTTTGAACGGAGTTTGACCACCGCCCTATACATATTAATCTCACACAAAAACTTTTAATTCGACACTCGTGCTCTTTATTAAAATTTGCGGTATAGTCGTTTTTTGTTCTCTCGACGATATCGTACCACTCGGACGGATTTAAAATATCTAATACTTATATAATATCTATATATGTAACATATATACTATATATGTAATGGTAGTAAGGTAGGTAGGCAGTGTTGGGTAGTAAAGTAACGCAAATTAAAAAATTACTGCAACGCAGCTGTAATTTCATTACATTTTACTTAAAGTAACCCAATTGTAACAAAATTACTTTTGAAAAGTAATTTCTATGAAGTAACGCACTATAACGCGTTATTTTCCACGTTATTAAAATAAAATTTTTGAATGTAATACAAAAACAAGAATAAGAATCCCAGAATAATTAAAAATCAATTATATTTATTTTCGATTTCGATAGTAGTTAACAATATTACTAAACATTCCAGGAATAAAATATGTTATCACTTTATTAGCAAAAAGAAATTAAAAATTAAATTTAATAAAAAATAATCATAATTTATGACTTATGACTATACATACTATAATACTATAGACATAATACTATAATAGGTATATTATCACTAGGTCTATGATTGTAAAATATATACATAGGTAATAATTGAATCATATGAATTGAATATGGTTTAAAAAAAAGTAACGTTATTTGTAACGTACTACTTTATTAATGAAAAAGTAATGTAACGTGATAAAAATAATTTTAGGTGACGCAAATGTAATTTAAATAAATATATTTGAAGTAACCAGTAACTTAATTTCATTACTTTTTAAAAGTAATTTAACCAACACTGGAGGTAGGTAGGTAGGTAGGTAGGTAGGTAACATATGCGTATTATTATTATTGCACTTTATATTATATTCAATTGAATAAAATAATCTTTGTTTAAATTGAATATTATAATATTAAAAACGATGAACAATTAAATTATGTAATTGTAAGTAGGTATATTATAATATAGAATATATATATATGTCGCTAAACTCATGGTTTTTAAGTTGGTTACACATAAATAAAATAAAACTAAAAAAAAAATACGTTTATATTTTTATGAACATTTAAATTAAGTTAATAACAAATTTGTACCAATATCATTTTTATTGGAATTCTATGCTATGGGTTCGTAATTACACGTATACAGTGACTTAATAGTCATTATAAGTTCTGTATAATATTATACCATGCCTAGTTATATTATATGATATTCATACTACCAACGTCACAATTGTTCCTTGCGTTTTCTTCTCGTTTAGTCATCAAGACGACGGCTCTCCTATACAATTATTTTTAACTACGTCAGGTACTTGTAGAAAATAAAAATCCTCCACTATAATGCATATTCAGTTACCGCAGCTGTGGTGGTGCTACAAAATTTTACTCGAGGAACGCGCGTTTCGAGTGCACACTTAATGATATCAATCCATCGCAATTATTATATTATATTTCACAGAAACGTGTAAATAAAAAAAAGATAATAATAAAAGAAAATCGTTTAAAAAGTCCAATGGGGCCGGAGTGGCGCAGTGGTGACGCTGTCGTCCGATTGCGTCATTCGGTTTCCAACTAGGTCCCACTCCACTGGGAGTGAAGACCACACATGCCTCCTCTTGCAAGAGAAGGGGGGTAGTATCATGCATATAGTGATATATATATAGATAATTAGATCACATGATCTCCCTTCTTCTACCCACTTGTGATAAGCATTGACGAAGACCTAGGGATCGTTTCAATAAACAAATAAAAAAAAAAAGTCCAATATCCGGTCTAGACGTTGGCGCGGCGGATATAGTATTACAAACGGGCGTTTCCTCGATCACAAAATATAGAAACCCTCTACATCGGTGTCAATATAATATATTATACAAGTTTCGAATTAAACTTGACGGGTAATTGGTTCACCCCCTCCATCCCATCCCCTCCAGATTCCACTCTGGATTATCGCGTGCACTATATGTATATAAATATACTTAAGTATATTATAAGGAGAGGGTGGTTTTCACGAAAGCCCTCTTGTAATTTCGTCGTGTTGACAACATCGGAGGCCGACACCTCATCCGCAGCCCAGCCGGCCGATCACTGTTCCCTCCGAAGTTATTTACCCCTAAACCAACCCTTTGGTGAGCACGCTTGTTGTGTAATTTCTATGTAAATTATATGGACAGCGATATAATATATATTATGGCAATCGTTTCTCAATGACCACTCGGCGCTCGTCAATCCCAGACCGTTTTGCAAAGTCAACAGTGGCTGAAGCGAGAGCATGTCGAGACGAATCTTTAGATTAAAACATCACAGCGGTTTCAGAAGAAATCGAATTAGTATAAACTGGTGTTCTCAAAAATGTATAGTATATTATACATTATACCGGTTGATCCATTGAACGTAAGACACTCATTAGGAATTGCATAAACTATTAAGCTATTCTTTATTTTGTATTTAGGTATGTGTGATATATTATCAATTAATTGAAAAATATTGCTTATTTAGTTTTATTGCATATTAATGAATAAATATTTTTTTGGTTATTTTTCGTTCTAAGGCTGTGGTGTGAGTGGGGTTCATACTCTCACCACAGCCATAGGCTTTAATGAGTAGACCAACCTTGTAATATTGCATGTAATCTAAATTGTATCAAACATTTTGTTCTTGGCAAATTATTATTATTACCTACTATAAAAGTTTTTAAAAATATATATTTTTTTTATCGCTGTTTTAATTTTTTTCCTTTTTAGTGGTAACACGAATTTTTAATTCTTCATTCCAAAAAAGAATATTTTTCGAAGCACTTCGATACATAAAAAATTAATTTTGGACGAGTAGTTGTTGTGCTTAAGTAGTTTATGTATTTAAAATTTTGATGAGCGGAGTAGAATGGTATCCCGCAAAATTAGTGGACCAACCAGTACTCCGTTAATATCAATTTTAAGTACTTATTAAGTTATAACTAATAAACTACTTGTTCGAAATTTTAGTTTTATAAATCAAAATATTCCAAATAATATACTTCATTGTAACACGAAATTTAAAATGTACGTTGTCATTCAATAGAGTAAAAAAAACGTATAAAATGATAACGATAAAAATTGTAAAAATATAATTTTTCCAAAAATGTAGTTTTGTAGGGACTTAAAATTATGTGATAAAATATTATCAAGAACTTTAATTTTTTTTCGAAATAATGAAGGTCCTGTGTTAAGTGGATCACCCTATATACACGTATATACCTTTGAAAATACTGACACTCTCAACATGCACTAACAGACACGTCATAAAAGCGTATTATAATATACTTATTACAGAACTTGTCTTTGACGTAAGTATATGACGTGCAGACGCATCAAACAAAATAACGTGTTAAGTGATATTATTCTATTTTTGGCAACACAATTATGCACATAACTATTTCCTATCAATAAATTATAATATGATAATATGTGTTAGTTTACTCACGTTGATTGTAACTCTTTCGCAGAAGTCGTGGTCGTGCGGTATCGGTTCGAATGTCGCGCTCCCCGAACAGTGTTGAGGATGACCGTGTGTGAGGCCTGTGCCAAGATTTGCCCCTGGACCACAGCCGTCTTCGTCTTGGGTACTGAGTTTCGGCAGCGACCTAAAGAACGGGTACCGAAAATTAGGTCATGACGAATTTACAAGGTTTTTACTTTTTATCAATGTTCTAGAGTCAGCAACATTGTTTATGTATGGAGGGCCAAAAAATAAATATACATTTTTCATGGGCCACAATTTTGATACACCTACCTTATTTATTAATTTCAAATAAACATGACGTATAGTCATATCAAATTTAATTTATTTAAGTAGCAACTCTTAGGGATGCCAATATTATTTAATAAGGTATCACAAAGAAACAACGTTTTAATAATCCACCGTTTCCAGTCTATACTACTATCTTAGCTAGTGGTTTTTATATAAATTATACACTTGTAAGCCAAATAAAACTTCTGAGCGGGCTTCGGGTTGTTACCGACCATACTGTTCTAGAGATTCTAACTAAGTACTATAATATTATGCTCGAATATATTTTATTAGGTTTTGTATTCATATCTTGATACCAAATATATGTATATTTTATGCTGCAGAATCTTACACATTATGTTTAAAAAAAATAGTAGAGATTGCGTTAAGTAGGTATTTTTTCAGTATTCTTATACAATCCTTACTGCCTAAGTTGGTAATCTATTATAATATTTAATAACAGACTCTGTAGACCGACAATATAAAATAATTTCAAGAGCCGTCTACAACTCCACAAGCCAATCATTTTTACAAAATGCATTATATTATTATATACAGTGCATAAAATTGTTCGCTTCAGAGATTATTGTATAATAACATAATGAAAGTATATTATAGAATATAGATAGTAGGGACTCATTCATAGGTGTCTAACGATATTATTCGAGTATAAAAATCATCCGACTATAAGCTCGAGCGATAAACATGAACAAAATTTCTATTTAAAAGTAAATTAGTATTAAACTCGCCAACCCATGTAAATTAACATGAAACATTATTGATATGCAACTAATGAGTGACAAAAATGTCGTAAAAGATAATTAAAGACTAATATAATATTTTAATTTATAGTCAAATCAATGTTTATTGAATCGCTTCTCTTTGATGTCCTCTGAGTCGATACTACTACTACATCTTATTAATAATTTACAATTAAATTATCTACCTACATAATATTATATATACGCACATTTAAATGATACCGATATCGAGTATAATTCATATTAGTCGGTCTAGCTGAATTTCAAATTAATTGTGACAGGTGGAGCTTATAATTTAATAGCTATTATAATACTACCTACCCACTCCTATTTCGTGTGTAAAATGTGCTTTACTGCTATATGATATTGGACAGCAATGGTCATAAGACCACTGCACTCCTACAAATCAATGGATTATAACATTATGATATCAGCAGTACCTAATATTGTTTCGTGTAAACGGTTTCGACTGTATATAACACAATAATATAATAGTTAAAAAATTATTACCCTAACGTGTAGTATTGTTTATTATATTATATTTAATAAACTGGTGAACTAACAATAGCGACTACGATCTATTATTATAGTAGCCCGAACTCAAACACAATAATAATGACATAATAACTACGCGTAACGCATAACAATATAAAATATCGCACTGTACAAGTTATACTATTTTCGTTTCACAAACGTGTCGACTCGAACGCAATATAATTATAGCATGGATGAAAGTTTTCTAAAAAAACAAAAACAAAAAAAGAACCGAAATGTATACAAAAATGAAGTCTATTTCCAACAAAAAAGCAGAAAATTATAAACATATATATATTATGTGGCGTGTATACATGTGTTCGGGTGCATCTGCTACCGGAGCTTTATACTATTCTGTTCAAATTTTAGGGTTTTTTTTTGCCAACACCCTCACTCTAGATTCCACCGTCTTCATCGTTGTTTTCATTGTAAATAAGAGAAGGGTGGTTTTTTTTATTATTATTTCGGTTACGCAGCAATTTGCTTCGTCGTCGTAACAGACTACACATACACACACACACACACACACACACACACACACAACACACCCGGAAAACCCAGAACATAGTCTCGATAATCAGTCGGGTCGTGGCGGCGGCAGTGGTGGTGGTGGTTTATGGGTTTTGTCGCCGCGCTGTCTGGTCTGTAGCGGTAACCACGGTTACCGGCAGTCGTGCCCCCGACCCACGTTCTGCAGTGGTTACCAAAACAATCGCCTCGGCAAACTTATATAACAGAGACATTATTCCACTGAGAGTGTATATTATATGATTTATGATCTCGTATATATATATTGTATATACTACTCGTAATAGAGACATTAGGGGTACGCGTATCGCTGCTGCAGTCGCACTCGGTAAATTGTTTTTTTTTTCATCCCCTAACCACCCCGATACCAGCACCACATGCGAATAGAACAATATAGGTAGTAAGTTTCTACCTACCAATGTATAAACATATATTATTATTATTTTCTCTTTCTTTTCGCAGTCTCAACCCCCTCCCGCCACTCCCGAGCCATTTTTGCTCGTCGTCGTCGTCGTCGTCTGAACCTACTGATTGATGAAAACACACAAAACGCATGCATTATAATACACTACTTCATGTTAAATATACGCGTGCTATAAACTGCAGTTAGGCACCTAAATATTGTATACGCGTGGCAATAGCCCTGAAACGCTGATCGCAGTCGATTTCTCAAATTTTATAACGTATTTCCGCATATTGTTATTATATTATTACTATTATTTTATGCTCAGTAATTGGGCTGACAAAAACACGCCACAGTATAACAACAACAGCTCGATGGCTATACCTAATATTTCCTGTTTTTTTCGTCTTATTTTACTTCACGACCAGACGTACTGCTGCGATGTATACATCGTATAATATTATATATTTATAACTAACTCACTAGTGGAAACAGTATTATAAACATAATACATATACTTATAATTTATAATTTAATACCATACATTATTATAATACCATGCACACTAATAATATGGTAGAAAAGCCGAAAACGTTTTTCACGCAATCAAGATCGGGATAAACGGTAAAACGATTTTTAACACCATTTTTAAGCAGTTTTTATACTGCACAAAGTCCATCAGTTTATGATAATAATTAGATTATGTTTCAATGTATATAACATAATATGTAATACTGGGTACACATATAATAATAGTCGTATTTCTTTATACAATATTGCATGGAGATGGCTGACCTCAAGTATTAAGTAACCAAAACAGTTTCAATACCACTATTAGTGATATAGCGATGTCAAAACCTATACACGCAAAGCAATTATTTAAATCTGGAAAAACTAATGAAACTTTAATACCACCAATCAATGATTTATATGTAAAAAAGAATGATGTCCAAAATATTTTACAAAACCTGTAGTATAAAAATAGAAGCACTTACGAGGAACAAACTACCATTTTGAATGTAAGAAGTGTATACCTATTATGTTTTTAGACTCTGAGCGGAAATATTATTATTATTATATTATTATTCATCATCCATCGGAATATTTAAATTTTAAAATCATCAGATTTTCAACTTTGGGGTAATTTTTGGTAGTGAATTGTATATCCAATGTACCAACTATCAATTAGATTTTTGTGGGCCAAAAGTAAAAAGTTCTAGTACCTACGTTTAAAAATAACTCATCAAAATTACATTTATTTTACGGGCTATTTATTGGGTAGCCAGCTGTAGGTATTAATTATTATTCTGACTAATTTTAAGCTATTTAAAGGCATTTGAAATATTTTTTTGTTTAATTCGTTGATGAACATTTTTAAGTTCGTTTCAAAATTTTAAAACTTAATAACAGATCACATATACATCATCAGATTTAAAATACACAGGCAAAATATTCTTTGTAATTATTTTAAGTTATCATTTTGACAAAAAACGCCAAAATCATGAACATTTTAAAACTATTTTTAAGTTGGCCACTTGAAAATGACGTATAGTATTATATATTTCAATTTTTATAGCCAAGATTTGAAATTCATGCTTAAAATGTTTCTCACCATTAATTTTTACTGAAACATAAAAATCTTAATAATTTATAAATTACATATTTTTTTAAAAGATATTTGAAGTTCAACATTTTACGATATCCAATGTTTATCAGAGAAATAACAATTTTAGTTATACTGTAATAATTGAATAGTTTTATACTTGGGGACTCAACACTTTTACGTATATTATTTTTTAACTTTACAAAATTAAATTTTCCAAACCTTCGTCTTAATTTTAATTTTTAAGCAATTACCTAGATATTTATACCACGAACTTATTCACAAGGTTCTATGATAAGACAGTATTCATTCAAAAATTAACAATCATACAGTTATGTTAATATTAATAATATTGTAAATGAGATGTTTTTGTCAATAGTTAATTTAATCTATGCCGTATTACTAATAGTAAAATAAATTATGAATAGTTTTAAAAATATACAATAAAATATGTTTATAATCTATGATGATAGACGAAAATCTTTGCACAGAATCGTTCATCGTATGCAATAATTTATTATTTAATTAGAATTTAACATATCCATTAGTATCAATCTTTGCACAGAATCGTTCATCGTATGCAATAATTTATTATTTAATTAGAATTTAACATATCCATTAGTATCGTGAAACCTACTCAATGATGAAATACACTATACTCTATAGGTACAGTAGATGGACCTCTAAGATTTTGTTTTTATAATAATATCATGTTAAAAAATAAAAATCTATCGACTATAAATAAAAAATAAAATAACCATAGCTATTATATAATATTATTACAATTGTGGAGTATTTTAACTAAAATTAATTAACACTGAAAAATACAAATTATTAATTTTGATTTTGTTCAATTACATTCAATTGTTTTCAGTATTTACCTTGAAACGTAATGTTACAATTTTGAATTTACAGTATTCTACCCCCACGTCCTTTCTAAGCTTTTAACTCGTATATTACGTTGTGCAAACTTAATGGATATTGATATAATTTAATTTAAAATAATTTACATAAATCTACCATTATATTTTTAACTTTTAACTTTTAAGTTTAGGTAAACCAAAAAGTATACACACTATAAATATTTATAATAATCGTGGGTCTCTGAAAAATAAATGGTGATCATTTTTCAAAAAAAAAAAAAATTGTGTTGAAAAGAAAAAATGTTGTCATGGCGAGACGCCCTTTTCTGTACATCGACATCCTAAAATAAATGTACATAATATTGTGTTGATGCATCAAATTCGCAAGTAAAATGTTCGACTTAATATGATGCGTAGTAGGTAATATATAGGTACTGTATATATTTTGATCTAGAATAAAAACTGTCAGACTTGGTTGACATGAAGTTGAAGGGACCGGCCAAAAAGTTCCAGTTATCGCAGAATTCAAGTTATCCAAGGATAATACAATGATAGGAAACTCTAGAGACTGGGAAAATGTTTTAGGTATCGAAGATTTCGTGTTAAAAGAGTTAGAGTTGATCAAGTTCAACTGTATGCTTTTTACCGAGGTGGTTGGGTAAAACAATATACATTTTATCAATCGTCATAAATGATCTAAAATAAGTAGGTGTATCGTATTATGATGTGGCACTCAAATACGAGGGTATAATAATATCACCTATATAATTTATAATATTATTAATACATAATTTCATCCTTATATGTAACGATATAACTTATTACTTCTCCGCTACGAGATCTCCGAACGAGACACTCACATAATATAGGTACAGTATGGACGGATACAAGTTGATAGGTATTTTTAATTTAATATTTAATATGTAAGCAAATGACTTGAAGTGAAACTGTGTAGACCAAACGAACAGCATACATGCATAATGATTCAATGTGTATAAATCATAATTTTATGTTACATTATTATATTTCACGCCTATATATAAAATGGGTTGTTCGTGAAATATGGCATTTGCGTTTGGCCAATCAGTCTGCATCTACGGATACGTCATGACCGCGTAATTCTGTAATTATTATACATGCTATTATTGTAATAGTGTGATAGTTCATTAATATTGTGAGGACTTGATATCTTTGTATTATATACCATAATAATAATACTATGTCTAATCGTTTAATAATATAATAGTAATAATAACACAATGGTCATTGCGTTGAGATAATTAAAATGTATAATTTATGATAATCACGTCGCACATTATGAATTGTGCCAAGTTCAAATAAACCAATTCGCGTGCAATCGATGACTTGCCTCACGGTGTATAATATCTACCTCTATTCTATTTTTATAACAGTTATCAGAGTATCGTATCGCAGTATCGCACTATAGTTTATATTAGACAGGATGATGAACTGCGTTATAGCAATTAACAAATATAAAATAGCTTGGAAATTAATTTGTTTAATTTAATAGATTTATTAGAGATGCCCCACAGGTTACATTTATAAGCGAGGCAGAGCCCAGGGTGTGGTAGCTATATACTGTAGCACGATATACGGAAGATGGTGAAAACGAAATTCAGCTATATAGAAAATGACATGTATAACTAAAAAAATAAAAGTGTACGGTCGGGGATCTGAGATAGAAATAAAAACATTTGAAATACGAGTAATTTAGAATGTAAAACACTGCAGTTGTGTAGTAAGCTTTTCCGATATTTTGGGTGGACAGAATTTTCCTACACATGTATATAATACTATAACACTCGAGAGTGCCAAAAAAAAAAAAATAATAAAAAAAAAGATTAAAAACCTAGTGCCGTAACGTTTCAGTAGTTTACCCTAATGGAACATTTTGCCTTTCGAATCGGTCGGAATTTGTACGAGGGGCTTGACGATAAATTGTTATTCCAGTTCCTTCAATATATAATATACACTCGACATTTCTACCAAACGTTTGCCAAGATCCTGAAACCTCTTTCCGGTTTTCAGATTTATCATTTGTATTTCTATCTGGGCGACTGGCGTGAAAAAACAACGCGATAAATTAATAACGTGACGTCACAAAATATAGAACGTACACACACACACCCCTAGACCCTGCTAAAACGGACGCCCAGCGAGTTATCGTCAGTTAAAACAATATCGTGTACGAGTTTTTAGTTTCTCAACATCTTATGCGTCATTATGTCTCTCACACAGAGTCACAGACCACCGAAATTCGACAAATTGTAAAAAATCGAGAAATTATTATTAATATTGTTGACTTGAAAACACAATACAATATTATTGTCATAGTATGTCTGTCATATCAATTCACTATACTATTGATACAATGTTTGTCTCGATATTATTATAAAAATTACTATTGCTATTCGCTTTAACTGTTTTATATAATTTTTGTGATGAATTTAAAATCAAATACAAAATGCTATACGCTGTACGATATGACGTATCAATGTATAGGTATAATAGTACAAATTACCATTTAAATAAATCATAGACAGACAAATATAGGTAATAGAATAGAATATAGATTATGCTTATATAGTATGTCTATGGTAAATATATACAGATGATATTATTGTTAAATAACCGATTAATAACACTTTTCATAATAATATATTATGCTGAGTTAGGTAGTACTATGGTAATGTCGTAGGGTGAAAAATGTATATGGTAATCGGGGGGAGGGGGGGGTGCTTAGACCCTAAAATATTTTGAGTACAAAACATAATAATATTCTAAAAAAATTAGGGAGAGTGCTATAACTAAACATATGATTGGACCAATCATGGACCCCTAAATCTCATATTTATTTTATGTGACAATCAGCTCACGCTATTGATTCATTAAATATTATACGATCTGGCAGTTTAGGTCAGGCTATATTAGTCTTAACACTATACTGCGTTAAAATATGTTTACATAAAACTATTGTATAATATTGTCGAACGAAAACGAAATGAACCTTGTGAACTAAAACAATATGATTACGTTAAAATCGACTCTGTAGATGAGGTGCGTGATTAAATCGTTATTATAAAATCTATCTTCGATTACCGTTTTTTGAACCTCTATATTGACCACGGTACGTCTAGTATAATATACGGACGCTTTTCGTTGCCATGTCGTGAGACCCAAAAATAAATCGTTATAAAAACAGATGGGCGTATTATACATAATAATAATTTTATATATCGCGTCTTATCGGACGGGTCATTCGACGGTGAATATAAGTAGCTGGTAGGTACAACTGTGTTCGCTGTCTACCGAATTGCGCAGAGTTATCGTATTATCGTAAAATAGTATTGTAGCAGCTGCAGGCTGAAAAAAAGGCGGCGGGCGAGGTTGATTAACGGCCACGAATGAATAATATTATGTGTACATGTTTTTCTTTTTTCGCTCCGCCCGACGACGGCGGCGGCGGCGACGAGGAAATGATGAAATACGACATTTAATTAACCGCGAAAAACGGGCCCGTAAGGA